TGTCTCCACCACGTGCACAGCCAGCTCACAGCACCAGCACCAGCACCAGTACCGGCACCCAGCACCAGCAACCTGTCTCGAAAGCGCGCACGGGCAACTCATTGTTAGTTGAAGTAAGAACCCCATAGCTTCGCTATCTGGGGAAAAAGCATTCTACTTATAACATTGATTATATATATATATACATATATATATTACTATATTATATATTATATATAGGACCTGGTAAACTTGCTTCTGCTTCTAAGCGCTTCAGCTTCTGCTTTACATGCAAAACCCTTCTCGATTAGAGCTTGGCTCTCCAGCTCTCCAGCCTCCAAGTCAGCCAGCTTCAAGCGCAGCTTTTCTCGGTCACGACGCGCACTAGTCAGCTCCTGCAGCTGTACGTCGCGCTCTTCAAGCAGCTCTCCAAGGCCCTGAGAAGCTCGATGAAGCTCAACCCTTAACGGAGGAAATGGCGGCACTGCGCAACCATGGCACAACCCGACACCACCCGGAAAAACCCGACAACGGTACGCGAGAATCTTCAAAGGCTCTTTAAACCTTGTGATTCAGACAATGTCACCCCGTCAACAGCTTGTCGAAAAAAGGTCCATGGATCGCCTGCAGCCTTTCTGTCTGTTTGGACAGCTTCGATTCCTTCGCTTTCAGCTGCTTGCGAAGGTTGTCGATTGAGCGCTTGACCTTTCACAATGAGTAGTTGAAAGTATATCTACTACTTGCTGAAATGGGAGTGGTGAAAAGTGTTTACTTTAGAAAAGAACTGTGCCGTCTCATGTGCTCAAAGCACGCAGCAAAACAAACACTCAGGAAGCACATGTGGCTTTTGCGACAAATGACTCATCTGACTCATCAGGTGACTTCTGCGAGCTCGTTTGTTTCGACTTTTTTGAACTTATCTTAGACATGATATGCTAAATGTGTCCCATCTGAGGTGCTTCTCACAGTTCCAGGACTAGCAAAACTCACTTGCCGCAAGCCAGAAATGCAGCAATTGATGACAAGCAGGACGATCGCTGAAACAACAGGCTCAAAAGCACTTTATTCCGTGGCCTCAACATCCTCCATAGGCTTTGGTCCAAGAGGTGGCAAGAAAATGCGCTGAACGCCCTTTGCTCCCTCCTCACCTGCGATGACTTGGCAGAGTTTACAAAGAAACTACTTCTTGTCAAAGTCCGAGGCAGTCCGATTCGGGCGAAAGTGTCTCCAGCCTGCAGACAGTACGGCTGTAAGCTTATCTATCTCCACCTGCTTCTCCTAAACAAAGGCGAAAAGGGTGTGAACCAAAATTACAACAAAAACATAACACTTGCTGTGATATTCAATACGACACGAGCTGTATGGCCAGCGAGAGCAACCTCGATTTTCAAGCGCAAAGTGGCGTTCAGTCCTTCAACTCGTGATTCAGAGCTTCCATCGCAGATGTTTGATGCCGAATGGTTTGGTCCTTTGTCTGATTGCTTTCTTCTGACTGGGCGGCCAAGCATTCAAACTCCTGCTTGGCCTGCTCCTTCCTGGCAGGCCACAAATTGGTCGCAGAATTTTCGAGAAAGCTTTGTACAAACAATATGCACACAAGCATTGACAAAAATACAGCATGAGTATGAGGACGTTGCTCTCTAACCTTTCTAGACAGGAGAATTGTCTGCTTGCCAAGCATCTCTTCAACCATCTTGGTTTCCATGGCAGCAAAACGCTCCTGCTCAGCCTTTAAAGGCAACCAAACGTCCTCAATGAACTTTATCAACGGCTGTCGGCTGTTTTCCTAAAAATTCGTTTTGGCCCCACCTGCAAGGCTGCAGTAGCTTGCACCACTTTGGAACTGCGAACTTGTTCCTCAACGAGCGCTGCCTGGCAAGTAATTACAATTCTCAGATCGTGTTTGAACGCAATTAGTGACTTCCCAACAGACACCTTAATGAGTCACGTTGAGCACGATCCAAAAGAAAAAAAGCAAGACTGCACAACGAACGAAGCAAACTTTAAATGCCTCAACATCAATAACACACATAGATTGACAAAGAGCTCAGGATGTTCCAATCTCTTGAGTCACTTGAGTTCTTCAAAACACCCGAGCAAAACCTGCCAGTCCTCACTCGAAAACATAAACATACTTTGATTCCCTCAGGGTCACAGGGTTTTGACACGCTGACTACACTAGACAGTGCCTGCAGGCGCTCCAGTTCATCCCGGAGCTGGAAGATTTGGGCACGCAGTTGGGCTTCACACTGCATCGACCTCTGTAGCTCATCACCGCGCTGCACTGCTTCTGCCTAGGGGTTTGAAATGCAAAGTTGTTGAAGCCAAGAATTGTATTCCATACAAAAGAGTTTGAAGACTTGTCCAAGAAGGAACTCAGCAAGAATGAGAAGAGGCATCGCAAAACTCTCAATAAAATGTTGCTTATATGAAAAGTGCAATCAAGTGTCTCTCAGAGTTGCAACCTCTTGACGTGTGAGAGCAACTTGGAAGTGCGCAGTATCAGTTTCTTTTTGCAGATCCTCCCAGGACATCGATGCAACAAGATCAATGAGAAGATATCCAGCGATCATCGAAGCGGATTGGCAATATTCATGCTTCTTCACGCAAATACACTGCGCAGAATCTTTTACAGTAACCAAAGTACTGCGTATATGTAGAACATAACATAACCCTCCTGGAAACGATGGGATAGATCATCCAACTGTTTGTCTCGGTTTCGCAAAAGGATCTGCAGGCGGACAGGGTCTTGGGGCATCTCTTCGCTGTCCTGGCAAATGGGACTAAACGGCTCAACGACCAAACCATGCCCACCACCACAGCAAAACTGAAACACATTTGAGAACTGAATGCTGGGATCACTTTTGGCACCAGTTGAGCTTGCAATTCCCAAACTTGACGTTCCAGCTGTCCAACTCTTTCACGTTCAATACGAAGAAGCGCCTGCATTGTACAGCGCAAAGAACACTGTATATAGCATAGATGGTCTTGCCCACTCAAAAAATAACATCTCTGGCCGCCTCCAGCTTGAGTCTCAAGCTGCGATGCTCTTCAACCTGACAGCTGGCTCAATCCATTTAAATGTTGTTGAGAAAAGTTGGGGGGGCAAGCTTTTGGCTTTCAGCCTGCAGTTGCTGTGCATCCACCAGTTTTTCCAATTTGTCGCGTGTATATTTTTCATTTCCTTGGATTGCACGATCACAGTATGAACCAAAGCTACACGAGCAGCTACAGCTAGCGCTCTCTGCCAAACTCTTAGTCCGCCAAGTGGCTCAAAGATGTTTCCAGAACCTGCAACATTCTCAATTGTGTAAGTCGACAAAATAACCTGCTGGTATGTCAACGCCTGGATTGCTAAGTCAGACTTTGGCCCCGCATCTAAGGTCGCCATCGTCGAGCTAACTAATTGAACACAACTTTCTTGCCAAAATGTGCTGACATGTGGCTCAAGACCTCAAATACATGTTTAAACTAGTTCTGTCTTTTTTGTTCACGGTCTCTCCCTATTTAGACTGGTTTGAGTGGATTAGCGAGGTGACAAATCCCATCTTGGTTGCTTCAAGCTTTCTTGTTTCTGTGCCTGATACGCAAGAACTCAAGAGAATAAGTATGTTGTCTCGTCTTGCGCTTTCCTCTGTGCTGCAACACTGTGTGAGGGTGATGCCTGCAGCTATCGTTTTGTCTGTGGTCCAATGACAAGGAACATTTGTTTGACATGGAATACAAAATGCAATGTTTGATAGAAGCAACTCATGGCACGTCAGTGATAGTCACTAGCAGCGAACTGTATTTTGACCACTCGCAGTGGTTGCGCTGAGGTCCATCGTTCGTGAGCGCATCTTTGACCGCTTCCGGTACACCATTCACACAAGGACATGCGCAACACCTGTACAAGCTGCGGAAAACCAAAGCAAAGATCCTGCAAAAAGTCAGTATATATAGACACAAGCCATTCATCGAACATACTGAGTATTTGAAGTCCAGTGTCGGCGGTTTGCACACTGAGTTCTTGCTCCAGGCCATTACAGTCAGTTTGGAACAGTCTCATTCGCATCTTGTCAAGACCTTGAACGACTTGACTATTTGCAGTTTCGACCTGTTCCAGACTTCTGGACGTTTGCTTTTTTGCTTTAAACAAATTTTACATTCGATTCGACTTCGGGTCATTCGATGGAGGTTTCTTGATGAACAAGCGATTAAAGCACAGCTTCATGGGGTGGCAAAAAAACGTATCGTTTCGTACAACAATCTAAGTCAGTCTTCCTGAATAGCTTGTGCTGCCAATGCAAGCGCCTTCGCTATCTTCAATGACTAGCAAGTATGCAGAAATGCAATCGTTGCAGTTGCTGCCGGAGTCAAAGCTCTTGAGAATACATGACCCAGCCGCTGCGGAGACTTCCACAGGATGCTGGAAGAAGCAAAAGATTGTTGAACACTTTTTCCGCTCAAACCAGCATCTGCCAGCTAACGTGCTTTCCTGCTGGAAGTATGTGCCCGCTTTCTTGAACTCAGAAAAATGTAGAAAACTGTTGTGGCCATCCTCCATCCGTTGTTTTGGGGGAGGCCGGGTAGAGTTTACAGTTTGGAACGACCGAGTCGTCACCCGCAGGGTCTCAAAGCTTCCACGACCACATGTAGGCTTTGCAAGCATCAGCCGTCAAACGTCCCTCAAACAGCGTTGACAATGTCCAAAGGGGGACCCTATCTGCGCTGAGTGGGAAAGTGGTGGGCTTGCCGTCTAGAGACTGAAACGCACAAACGATTTTGTTTTTTAGCTGTCAAGCCTGTGAAACCCTCAAAAAGGACACTGCGTGACAAAAATGAAGGCTTCAACTGCCACACAACCACGCAAGTGGTACCACCAATATAATTGTAACCACCGCGATTGCTGATTTGGAACACGGCTTACGTTGCTTTCACGCATGACAACCTGAGATCATATGATGTCATTTGTGTTTGGAGATATCAAATGAAAACAACGTTATTGTTGATGAAAAGTCCTATCACAAATCTCTGGCAACCTGACTGATCTGTTTGTCTTTGACTGTTTGGCAAGCATGTGTGCTGGTGACCTGTCTCCGAAAAATAATTGTCAAATATCTCTACATCTCTACATCAAGGACAAACAGCTGCATTCATTACCAGCCATCAAGTAGGAAGATTGCCAGAATTTGCATGTGGGAGTCTCTTGCGCAGTGTCCCAATCATGTTTCCCCCAGTTTGGATCTTTGGCTCCCCCATTCTTTTAAAGGTTCACCAAGCCAAGCAAGGATAGAAATATCAAAACCAGTTTTCTGAGACTGAAATGGGGGTAGCACAAAACAGGTGCTGGAACAATCCGTCCAATTTCTTGAAGCAGGGAGACTGGGTTGCTGGAGGAAGGATTGGGTTTATCTAGTGCGTGCAAATATGCACCTATATATATAAAATATATGCTACCCCCCCCGACCAACACCCACCTTTTGCGTTGAGATTGACAAATGGTTCCCTTTGCCAAAATGTTAACATAGGATTACGTAACCCCCACAATTAATCAAGCCCATCCCGAGCCCCCAACACTAAACTAATTTAAAACCTAAATTCCCCTCCAAAAACTTTGTTCTTGGCACCTTCCCCTATCAATCAAGCCCATTTGCCACCAGAAAGTTATGAATATGGTTTATTGATAAGTCAATATACTGTGTTGCTTAATTTTTTATTTTCAGTTAGTATCCAACATCTATCTTCCTACGATAGTGAAATTGATCCATTGTGAAACTGATCTTTTGACCAGCCTCTTTATGAAGTCATTCCAGCTGGCGCTGGTGTCATCATCCTCACCACCACCCCTCAACTGCCTCAATCTGCCCACCCAACCTTCTGATTGCTTCTCCTGAAGGCTCCAGGCTCATGTTACTAACCATTCTGATGGCCCAATGTTTTCCCAAAAAACATTTTCCCACGACCACGAAAACTCTCTAGCAAACATCTGTCACTTTTGTTCGTAAAATTTTATCAAGGTCTGAAGGTTTTCAAGCTCACAAAGGGCGCCCCTCACACAGGCCCTACCCTCACACAGGCCCTACCCTCTCTGATAAGCGGGTTACCTCGCCCATTTATCAAGTTCCCGTTTTTGCTTCCATCTTGCCTTCCATCTCTTTCGTCCTGCAATCCTCTTCCTTTTCCAAGCCATTATCCCAATTAGACCATGCAGTATAGGCATCCACCCTCACCACATAAAGCATCCATTGCCCATTCCTCTCCACGCTGTCAAACGCAAGCTCCCAATTGGCATGGCTATGATCTCTCACCAAACTTGGGCCAATATGCTAAGCCCTCTTTGTTCTCATGGTCCGAACTCTCATGCTTCACACAGAATCCCCGTTAACCATCATCCATCATCAGGTCAGCACCTCTATTAGGGGAGATGTTGTCTCCAATACCTCCAATGTCAAGCCTTGTTGACCTTGCTAACAAATATGTACTAGGGTCTCTGGGATGTTTCTTAATATCCTTTTATCACAGTCTAAAATATAGAAAACAACGAAAATAACAGCCGCACAACCCATCACCAAAAAACCACATTTGGCAGATTTATGAAATATGTTCACAAAAACTATGTAGCGAAACATTAAAAGCTAGATTGCGCTCAGATGTTTGTTATGTTTCTTTGATTTGAGACGCACTTGATAGTGCCCGTGGCTCAAAGAAAAATACACGCAGAACAGGTACTGTAATGTTTTTTACCTTCCATTCATTGTATGTTTTGACACATATATACCTCATACCTATGGCCAACAAGGCTTTAAATGTCTCTTATTAGCATCTTAATCTCAAGTTCAGGATCATTCAACTTCAAGAAAAATTTTGATTTGCAGAAATAGTCTATAGTGTCATACTTGTTGTAATCATTTTCAGAAATGAGTTGTTTGCTTCAATGAACTTTCACTTCAATAAATAACATTGACAGTTGGTATACATTATTTATTCAAAAAGGAAAAGCTGAAGTACCCAAAAGAGTGACCAAGGAAATATAATCAATCATAACAGATGGCCACAAATTTAAAACAAAAACATTGGAACCTCAAACATGTCTTTATCCCGGCAAGAGACCCCAAACAGTGCGTGTGAGGTCTAAAAGCAGAAAATCTAGAGATCTAGACGCATTGGGGTCCAGAGAGGTGATGGTGGTGACGAAGGTGGAGATCGTGGTGATGGTGGGGGCGGTGGTGAGTGTGAGTGAGAGTGAGAGTGTGAGAGTGGGTGTATGTATGAGTGAGTGAGTGAGTGAGTGAGTGAGTGGTTGCCTTGCCTCGGGGTACTTGACATAAAGAAGCTTGGGATTCCGTGGTCCCAACGCTGGGTCTCCAGGCGTCGAAGGTGCTGAACTGGCCTCATAATTCTTGCAAGCACGTGAGCACGATGTGGTCTCCTTGGTCTCCATGCTCTTGGGCGCTGCCTTCTTCTTCAAATGCAAGACATAGCCGCAGTCTTTGCACTTTATGCTGTTCTGATACGCATTTGGTCCAGCCTTCGTGCGATGAGGATGATGACACGCACGTTGCAAACTTGTCTCCTGCGGTGGTGGTGTCATCATGAAGCGACGCATCTGATCTGGATCTCCATCCCGCAGCATGGCTCAGACACGTGCCCGCTGTGATCCCGTAGCTGGCTCTTGGTCAAAGCCGGCAAAGCCGGAGGCACTTCTGCAAGTGGAAGTGAAAGTGTGCAGCCCGACTGTGATGTCATATCTTGAGCTCTGCCGGGTCCATGACCGAATCTCGAGCCGCCCTCAGCCTCACTCGAAAGGCGTACTCCTGTAGGGCCGCCGGGCTTCCATCAAACTTTGGATTGCCCTTGCCCTCAGTCCTACTCATGAGGTTCTCCGCCTCCGTGAACCACTGCCATCGAAGGCATTCAAGCGCCGCCATGAAGCGCCCCACAAGCGAAAACAGGGTCTACTGAAAGGGATGCCCCTGGAGAACGTCGCTCCGGTGCCAGAATGAAAAGTCGTGACACCCAACACGGAAAAGCGCAAAAGAAAAGCGTGCTCTTTTGTGCCTGCATCTTGAGCCACAGGCGTCGTGTCATGACTGTGTGAAAGCCAAGCCAAACCACCTGGATGGATTGACGGACCAACTGCCATGTTAGTGGATGCATGTGGTTCAAATGACCGAATCTCAGACTACTTTCTTCAATGACCACATGATGGCTTCGACCGCCCACGCGAACGGTTTTCACTTCGCCGGGATGTATGTACATATATATATATATACATGTGTATGTATATATATACACGTATATATTGATGTGTATATATATTATATATGTGGGTGAAACTTCCGGAGGACGAAAACAATGTGAACATGCGAAACAAAATGGAGTTCGGAGGCACAGGATAACGTGCAAATATGACATTGGAAGTTGACATGTCCCTATATATAATATACATCTGGTGTCTTTTTGCGTATTCATTGACGATCAATGATTGCGCAATGCAGTCTTGCAAATACATACGTGTCTACACGATGCATATATCGGGAATGGGGTGCCACAAGGTAGTGATCTCATGTTCGTTTGAATAGTATAAAGCAAATCTATCTATAGAGTGTTGCCCAAATAGGTTGAAACGATGTCCAGCACATACAAACGGCGGGGTCATTTGTAAATCTACATGTTGGGGTCAACATAGATGCAGCCTTGCTCGTTTGTCTTCCACAGTTGAGGTTTTGCCAAATCAACAGAAGGGCTTTCTCAAATTGAAAAAGTCGCATGACTCTGTGGCCCCCCCGGGTGAAACCTCAAACAGAGGTCCGACTGCGAAATTGAGACTTCGCTGGCTACCTGCCGAAGATAAATGGCACCACAACCTCCAAGCGCGGCTTTTGGGTTGGGCCCGGCGATGTCGGCGGGGCCCCACGACCTTGAGAAGTTCAGCGTGTTAAGGGATTCAAGATCCCTTAACCATGCTATGCTTGTATTATAGTGCTTGTAAAAATAGATACAAAAATATAAGAGATCAAGGAAAAATATTATGCATTGACTTATGCATTGTGTCTTGTAAGCGAGCATAGTAGCGTGTAGTGGTCAATAGGTCCTTGATCCTAAATCTGTTCCTACAAGGAGTACTGTAAGAACAAATCGTTACAGTAGATCCAGGGCTTCTCATAGAATCGTTCTCACTAAGCGGCTCTGCAAATCAGCGAGGCAGTGGTGTCTAGTGAAAGAAAAATGGTTGAAACAAAAAGATGTCAAGTTCTTTCAAATGTCTGAAGCTTTAACCCAAAGATGTTCAACTAAAACTGGGAAGCTCAGGTCGGCTCGCTTGTATCCTCGAAGACCCTGGCACTAATTTCTCAATCTGCACATTGTACGCTCCTTGAGCAATCAACTACCTAGGTTCCCTCAACTAGCGAAACAGTCAGAGTGGCAAGAGAAGCTTCACCAAGAACTTCCCCATTGACCTCTGCTCAGAAACTTCAACCAACAACAGACTATCAACCTGCTTGCACACACCGTCAACAAGTAGTGTCTACTAGCTGGAAGATCATCTTCGTGTGGAGTCCTGAATATGTCATATATCATTTAATCTGTTTGTTGGGGGGCCAACAACGCTCTTCTACTAACTGGACGCAGGATGGCTCACGCTCGCACTAATGAATGATTTGGTTCCTAGACTTTTTTAGCTTGAGGCGCAATGAAGGAATCCGGCACTGCTTCTGAAGCCATCTCCTTTGGAACCAAAGCGTTGAAATCATTTCTGCATGTATCACAAAAAAGAGAAGGTATGACGGTATGACCCTAAAAAGCTATCATGTTCTCGCGTCGTCACACTAAACAGGTTCACTCCTGATCTGCCTTGAGAGAGCTGGCCACGATCTCCACTGTATCAATTTTCCCGATCTTCCCTATCAACGAAACAAAGCAATACACTACATTACAATGGCAGCTACAAAAATGACAGCAATGGTTGCACAACTTTCGAAGAACAAAAGCTCTCCTGTTCACGTGCCTGGTAACACCAAATCTGCAGGTGGTTTCCACTCGTGGCCTCTCAGAACGGACATCTTTGATCACCAGCATTGCATGCATGTCAAGTCGTTTCATATATTTTACAACATGTTTTTGATATATGTCTCTGAAAACATCCAACTGCCTTGGGTAAAGTGTGGCTAAGTTGCCCAGTTTCAGTTGCCGGCACCTTCTGGCCCACAACAGCTGTCGTAATCATAGTCGTCCTCATCCTGATCCGACATGTGCTGTGAAGGTCATCCAGTGAATGATACAAGTTGTTATGCGATTGATGACCTCAAAAGGAGATTGTCGTCCACCATCTATATCATGCCTGGGCCACAATGTTCAAATGACAGTGGCTGCACCGGCGAAGTTGCTGAACAAAAATCAGGCCACCTAGCACCTAAACCAAGCCCATTGCATTTTGTGTCCCTCAACTGACCCGAACACCTCCAAACTGTGGGCAAGCTGTGGGTCAGGGTCGGAGCAAATCGGCCACTTCCAGGGTAGAATAGCACTTTTTTTGCATGTCTTTCAAACTCACCATGCTCTACGCGTCCTGGCTAACTCAACCCCACAACCTTCACGTGTTGGATGCCAGTTTGGTCTGGCTCATCTTGCAGGCGACTATCAACAAATGTCAGGGCTCAAGTGTGCAAACAAATGATGGGGACAAAAGGGTTTCTGTCTCCTATTCATCCTCTTGATGTTTTGTTCCCGCAAGAGGCTTTGGCTGTTCGAACCATGAAAACGTGACACACATTATCTGCATTACAAAGAATATCAAATGATTAATATGTGCCTCCTTGGTGAGTCAAAACCAAAATCTGCACCACCGTTCCGTGTGTAAGCAATAATTCAATGTCTGGCCTTGCTACAAACTGTGTCTCTTTACAAACTGCTCTGTCCTGACTCCTGCTTTCTGCAACAGGCTAAAACTTAAAAGCAGTGGACTCGAGATCAACCATTTCGTACGTCGAAACTGGACTAGAAAACATATGCTTAATCTCTGCATCTGCTGACAGGAATACGCGGGTACAGCCATTTCTGTCTATCTATGAATCTACTATACTGTTCTGCATTGATGTGTATGCATTCAATACAGTTTGCACACACCTTGAGAGGTAGCGTATCACTCGAAGCCAGTGCAAAATTACCCTCTGTGCCCTTGACTTCGGCCACGGAAAAGGCCAATAAGATGTCTCCTGCAGAATGCAGCAATCTGCTGGACACAACAGGTGAGGTACGGTATGACCCCATCAATAATCTTTCACAAGCTTCTTTGATAGCTTAAATGAACTTGGCCGTAGGAAATGCGAGATGGCTTCAAAAGCAAACCGTCCTCACTGCTCGACTGTGGGCTGGCACTTGACTGCGGACTGTGACTGCATACATCCATTCCAGCCATTGCCAAGTCAAATAAATGAAAATCAGAAAGAACACCAAAAAATCCAGCCGCCAAAGAATCTTGCTCTATCCACCGGCATACTCTACTGGCCAGTATACCGTATGCCGCATACCTGATTGCATGGCCAAGCTCAGACTTCATTTCAGTAGCTCGAGCCCTCTGCGGATTGAATGAATGTCTACAATCCCTCATATGCCTTTTTAAATTGTCGGTGTGCTTTGCGTAGGACGTCAATTTGTCAGGATAAGAACCAAGACCTGCAACTGTTAAAGGTCCATGCACAGGTCGTTGACCCTGACTTTTATCCGCGATATGCTTCACAGAGCTCCAAGCAACGCTATCGGGCACGCATCATCTTCGCACGGCGTTTATTGTTTTCATCTACTAGTGAAGCTCCTATGGCTGGTGATATCTAAAGTTTCCATGTGAAGCTCCAATGCGTGCTGAGTGAGCTGAGGAAACTCTCGACACGTCACGCTGCAGACTTAGGACTAGGAAGTGGAAGGGATGTGTTTCCGCAAAAAAATTAGACGACTATTATGGGGTTCACGAGAATTTCGAGAGATCCAAGGTGTTCCGACTTCAGTGAGTTCCAACCTTTGAGTCGGATGCCGAAATGCAAAATTGTAGATTGCGACAGCTTTGGGCCTTGCACAATGTCTTGACCACGTCTTGACATCAGCCATGCCAGTCATACAAACGGTGGCACTATCCTACCAACACAGTGATAACTTGGCCCCAATGGCCGAATGAAAACAACTAAGGGCTCTGCTACAAAATAGGCGCTACTTGATGCACAAACGATAAAGTGAGGCCGATCATGAAATCCAGACTTTGCGGCACTTTTTTGGCTGATGGACTGATGGACTGAGTCCGGCCCGTTCCTGCTTAGCCCAGAGCTGTGGCAAAATGCGCAAAGCTTCAAAACCATTCTACCAGAAGCAACTGAGCCCACTTCGAAACTTTGTATCATTCAAGTTGAAACATCTAGGGGCACCGCTAGCTCTCAATGTGTCCTGCAAGTACGCCTCGGCAGTACAAGCATACCTAGAAGACAAGTTGAAACATACTCGCAGGACTCAAACAAGGCTGCTGCCTCTGGTGTTCCAAGTCCAACCGAGACACCCATCAAGCCAAAATGCTCTCAAACCTTTTCCAAGCGTTCCCGGACCTCGAACAGGAATATGTATATACATTTGGCGAAACTAGATTGCTGTTGAAGAACTGGTGAACAATTTTCTGGAAGAATAGCTGCAATATGCTCTGCATCTTGCACACCTGAACCTGCTACATGTGTACTGTCTAAATACTTTTACATGGGCCTTGTGGGTCTTGTGGTGTTGAGAGTGCTTTTTCAAACGTCCCCATCTTGCAACATGTGACCACAAGGCCCTAAGCTGGCCTTCTGGACCAAAGCATCTGCGGTCTTCTTGCCATCTCCCAAAAGCATCTCCTGAGGAGCGCTCGTGATAAAATATCCACGGCTCAAAATGCAAAATGGTGAATCAAGAAATCACGATCGAAACCGTTTGTACACTGACGCAATTGTCGAGGTGTGACCAAGGCAAAGTTCTGTGTTGCTCTTGTAGAAGACGGGGTTGTCCAAGTCTGCATAGCCTTCAAATTGACTCGGGCAAAAGAACTGATCCTCCTTCGCATTCCGCATATCCTGGCCTCCACCCATGGATCGCTTGCAGAAGACCACCTTCTTAGATCGCCAAACCTGTATCAGGACAAATCTCTTGACAACCAACTGACAAAGTGTCTTGATATGGCGATATCGTTTTCAATAGCACATTTAGCCGCCTAACTCACAAAACTCAAGATAATATAATCTGGATGCCTTGAAGCGGCAAATTGCCCAGCCTCAATTACAGGCATTCCCCAAATGGCACATCCTTCCAGCTCCTGCAACCGCGTCAACTTTCAGATTTGTATTTAATTGTATTTATATATATATGCATATCATGTTGACACTTTATACAAACAAAGCTCCTGGGCAGCAGAGTTCACCACATCGTTGGCTCCCATAACCAAGACCACATCAAAGTTTTCCATATCTGGGTTGACCTGGTGTAGCATGTGGCTTCTTGAGAACCTTTGACCGATTCATCTTCTCTGACCGAGAGAGGCCCTAGCCCTAGTTACCCTAGTTCAAACCACTAAATGGAAACTTTGATAGCACTGCATGTTTCTGGTCATGATGCTGCACTTGAGATTGTGATTGACAGCTTCCCTCCGCCTCATCCATCTCCAGAACCCATTCGTGTGGAACACCTGCCTCCGTGGTGGCAGCCATCGGAAGTTCACGAATGAGAAAGAAATAGAAAAGTCGAAAAGCTGTGACTATGCCACTCTTCCAGTGTGAACATCTAGATTTCTAGCCTCTCAATCCTCAAAGCAAACGAATGGTTGGCTTACTTCCGGAGTGAAACATTACCACGCTCCTGACAAAAAGCAACGGCTGCCTCTGCCAACAATACGTTCATCTGACCAGGCATGCGGCCAGCAACAGGATGGACACCAAACCTGGGCAATTGCATGATCAAGGATCTGAACCTAAACCAAATGGAAATGTTTGCTTGCAAGTTGCAAAACAGAAGACATGTGAACGCTTTGTCCAACCACACCGAGCAGCTTGAGAATGATGTTGTTTTTCCGGAGCATAGAGGCAAGCTCGCCCATTGGAGTTTGTGCACGTGCCATTGCCATACCTGAGTCATTTTTCTTAGCATGTTGGATGCGTGGATGTGAAAGTTGTGTCAACTCCTGTGTTACATATGTATATATATATATATATCCATCCAGATCTTGCTTGTGCTCAGGAACCATAGCCAGGCACCACCAAGACTTCTTTTGCATTCACCAACCTGAGATGAAGACATGACAAATCAGTCAGTAAGTATAGTCACAGTTAGTATGGTAGTCAAGGTTGGCATAGCATCCCAGGCACATTTCCGCGCAAGTGTCCACATTGCATTCAACATGCTCCTGGTTCTGGAGCTCTTTCGACAAAACTGAGTCCTACTGCTCACTATAATCTCTACATATATATATATATGTATGTACGTGTATATATATATAATGCTGGCAGGCCTTTCCCCTAAAATCTTCTGTGCCTTGGGGCCAGTGTCCGCACCCTTCACGACTGCCGCGTTGTTCATACCACCAAAAAGAACATTGAAAATGTCTCTGTTCCTCGGGACCACGGTGACCAAATCGCCACGCGCAAAGCCATTCCCGTGAGTGCAACCAAGAAAACCATCACGAAATACCAAATGATTGCCAATACCAAATGCATGTTTAAGAATGAACTTGAGAGGCGGGCACGAAAGCGATGACAACGACGAATGTGAGAACACCTTACAAATCCCCTGAGGATAATGTTTGTGATGTCGTGTCCCTTGGGGGGGTGATTGTTCAATTGATCCCTTCGATGTTGACCCATCTAATCGTAAACTGAAACTTCAGCTGACCTCCTTCGGAGATCGCTTTCGTGATTTGTATTTGCAGAAGGTTGTGATTTTGCTGGGGCTTTGGTGAACCACGTCAATCGTAGGTGCCGAGGCTTGTTGAAGTATCGCGCTCAGCATAGAGGCACCGTGTTTTGGTGACCCTAGCACGTTCGAGCGGGGTGCGGGACACTGTCGTCTTGGGTCCCTCCCCCTGCCGCCGAATCAGCACCATACTTGTAAGCAAACAAATTCCAAGAGATGGCAAGGGAAAGGGTTTGATTTGGGCGGTTTAAGCAGGGTGTGCATGAATTATGGCAGAAAAAGCAGGCGTTTAATGTTTCGGGCCAAATCAAGTTTGGTCCCCCCAGGCCAAAGCACTTGGTAACGATATTGATTGGGCGTAAAGAACTCACATCTTCGTCTCAAAGCCAATTCAGCAAGGTTTCATGGCATCGCACATGATCTTTGTAAGGATTGCTCCTTAGGTGCACAAGTGACGCTTGGCAAATCCGCGCAAATTTGGAAGCCGATAAAACGAACAAAGTGTTAATGATGACCAACTTTCTGCAAAGCATCCGCTGAAACCAATCAACGAACCCACAATGGTAAGCACATTGCTCTTCAGCAGAAAGCCCTGAAGCAAGTCTTGTATTTGGGGGTGGGCGTACCACAAGGCATGGACCTGCAAGGGACGTTACTCCAAAAACCATAGAGTCGAAAGCGCAACATGATGGCTTTAGGCAAAGTGAGTTCAAAAAGAAACATACAGGACGATTCCACACGGTAAAGCAGGCGTCTTTTTC